TATCCCAATATAACCCCTATATCATTCTCCTAAACCCTAGAAGAATTTCAACTTTCGTGGAGTCCTGAGGCCTTGTCATCCCAGGAGCTGCTGGCTTCAATTTTGAAACCTGCAGGACAGCAAGAGATATAGGGCTATATAGGGGTTATATAGGAGCTATGTAGGGGTTATATAGGGGTTATATAGGGATAATGGAGAAGAAAATGGAAACTACTGTTTAGGTTTTAGGGTATAGTCCCCCTCAAGTAGATAGAATATGGGTTATATGGGGATCTATTTATAATATACCCAAAGCTATATTCTATCTACTTAAGGGGGGCTATATCCAAAGGCGGACGTGAATGGATTGGGCAGCCTTTAGTGACACAACTGGCCAGGGATTTATGGTTCCAGTAGTAACCTGCTAAAAGGGTGGACCCTGCTGGCTTGCTCTGCAGGAGCTTAATTTAAGTCATTATACCGAAGAAATCACATTAATTACTACAAGTACCCGTTGTGGCAACTTAGCCCCTAAACCCTAAACCCTATTTACCCTACTATACCCTACGGAATACCCTATATACCCATTATGGTAACTCAAGTTCGTTAGATCCCTATGTTCCCCAAGTTTCCAACCCATGTTCCATTTTCTTTTCTATTTGTTTCTCCAGTATAGGGGGATAATGTCCCTGATATAACCCCTATATAACCCCAATATACCATGGTAGTTTCCATTTTATTTTCCATTATCCCAATATCACCCAACAGCAACCCGATCTACCAGGCTTCGGGCATCTTCCAGTGCAAGGAACTTCCCGGATGCAAGAGAGTCGGCCTTCGAGCCCACTGCTTCCAAAGACCATAGAGTATAATAGATGTGGCCTTATTATGGTACAGTATATGGTATATGATGTCTCACCAAATCCGACAAGTTACATGGGGGTTTCCCAAAATTAGCGGTACCATCTTAAGGGCCCCCATAATAAGGACTATGGTATTTTGGGGTCTATATTGGAGTCCCCTTTTTTAGGGAAGCACCCATATCACTCCTAGCTCTGCCTCCAGTCCAGCAGCGCGGCGCTTGCGTGTGATCCTCAAGGAAAGACTCAAAGGATGCTTGATGTGCAGATGGCACCATTGCTACTACAAGCGCTATAGGCAGCAACGTTGCTGCTACGAAGTGCCTGCACTACCATGTTGCGGCTTTTTTCTGACATCTTGTTACAGCACCATTTTTTCGGTGCTGCAGTTGAAGCCATTGAAATTGAACATGTGCTTCTTGGACGACAGCACACCTACGCCGGGGACCACATTCTAATAAGTGGTGTGTCCCCAATATGGTAACTTAACTTAAGTTCCTTAACAGCAATGCAGTTTCGCTTGGGTTGGGGCAAGTGTGGGCCAACCCAAACCTGCATAGACCCCTTCGACCAATGCGATGGCAAAGAAAGAGAGGCAGATTTCCAGAGCATCCAAATAATCCCCTCCCGCTAACATTCAAACCCCCCACCCCCCCAAGATGAACTACTCCGATTATATGGTAGATTTTAAATATATTGGGAATATGTAATACTAGGGGGGTGGTTTTATATTAGGGGGAGGGGACTAGACATCTTCTGCTTGACGAGCTAGTTGTTGGATGTCAGGACAACTCTCTTGTTGCCATTGAACGCCATCTGGGCGCTGTGGCATTCGAGGTTGAGGCAAAGAGGTGGCAGCTTCGGCCATAGTAGCCTGGTAGAATTTATACATTTCTACTGTAGGACTGTACACCTCTCTAAACCCTAAACCCTTAACTACCATCCCTGACCTGCCTAAGACACTTGTACCACATGCATGGACCACAGTACATGGGCCCTGCAAGGAACGGTGAATCGTCTGAAAATTGGCGGTTTGTGAGGGATGGCCGTGATAGCGTGAGTAGAAATCTTTTGGGGGAAGCGAATTTTGCGTCGCACACAAGAATTCTGAGTTAGGCGGCTTAGAATAATTCACAACATGCAACAAGCAGATCTGAGGCCAGGACTCTAGCAGAGTATCCACGCCTGCATACATTGCAATTCAAGTTGATGCCACAGGGGATTTAGTAGGTTCTATTATATAATAGTTTCCATTCATTTTTCCATTACTATATATATATATATGGCTACAGATCAAAACCACGTGCCCTGAGTGCATGTTCCTATGCTGTCTGA